TAGATTTAACGCTATTGCAAAACTCAATTAAATCGTCAAAAGTAGGTGCATCACTAGTTTTAATACGAACTTTTCTAGCATCCAATTGCATTGAATCGAGTTCATCGATTTGTTTAAAGTACTACTTCACGTTACAGGTACCTGTTTATTTTCTCTATCAGACAGTAATGTATTACATACTTTCACACAGCTTTCAATGTACTTCATCCGTATAACACATGCTACAACTTTGAACTGCAACCCTGCTATAAACTTAGATCTTATCTTGGCCGTCTGTCTGTACAACTAAACATTTATTGCTACTACAAATCGACTTGGCAAAGATATTTTAAACTACATATTTATTTAAAAAAAAAATTTTTTTTACAAAAATATTGATATATTATTAATATCGAAAAGGTTATGTGAAAAAAAACTTAGTAAATATGAATTATATACGTTACAAAATTAGCTTTATTTGTAGTGTAAACAAACTTACCTTATCACCGGAGATAAATATAGATATTTTGATTAACCGGAACCAACAGTTCCAGAACTTCACTGACAAATCACAATGTATCACACAATCAGTTCATAAGTTATTTTGACGATAAGCCGCTTATTTAGAGACAAACCGGCGTAGCTCGTTCGAAGCACCGCGTGCATTTCAATGGATGAAAGTGTAAACTTTGGTTTTTGTATAGCGCCTTCCCTTTCTTGCGCGTGCGCACGACAAGGACGCAATATTCCTCTACCATCGAGTTCGGATTTGAACAGTGGCCACTTCGCCCACTATTTTTAATGTTATTCTATTTAATTCTCAAGTTTCGAATTTAAAAATTAATTTTATAAAAAAAATATCTATTAGAATTGCTTGTAAAAACCATTAAAATACAAAATATTCTTTATTGAGAAAATATAGTAAAATATTTTATTATTTATTCAATGAATATTTATATATTAGTAAATTATTGTATATTAGTTCACTTTAAGATCAATAATGTAAGGACATTAAATAGAGGAAATTAAAAAAAAAACAATTTGGTTTGTTTATTTTTATTATCTTCCCACAGGTGGCAAGAACCAGAGTAGTGAGCACAACCTAACGTAACGAAAATGGTAACTATTTTTCAGGGATAACCACTTCTAATCGATCGAGATAAAAGGTTACATCTATAAATTCCAATTCATGAATTCAATAGCTATGCTAAAACTACGTATTATTTAAACGAAAACGGCGCCATTGCTTTCGAGTGGTCGTCTGTTATAAATATGCAACAGCCTATTACCGCTGTGGATGTTTGTAATTTGGCACCCAAATAATAAAAATGTGTAATCCCTTGAGTACTGCTACTACCCCGGCTTACAAGATATTTTCTCTAATTACAGTTTTTCGAAAAGAAAGTAAACGATACATTGATATGAACTTGTAACAAATATGCACGTAACCAAGGCCACGTCGGCGATCGGTTACAAGCCGACTTGTCGCTTGAGAAGAGAGCATACGTTTAAAATTTTTGAACTATCTACATGCATTATTATATTACATTTTTTTTTAATATTTTTGATCATTTTAATCTTGTGCTAATTAGCGACGTGTCCGAAAAATTACGAATAGAAAAATTCACTGCTCTCATCTCAATTTAATACAAAATCAATTATTCGCTGATGTGGAAATTTTACAAATCGAATTATTTATATTGAAAAAAAGCTCAATCACCACTTACTGTTACATTGTGGCTATATAAATGGGGACTTAAAACATCGCCTCCAATCGAATACCTATCCCATCTCTAAACAACGAATTAATAGAACTAATTCCTTGAACAATCACGAATGCCCAATTCCTAAAGCGATCCGAATATAATTTAACGATAATAATTTTACCAAAATGGCCGCCATGATTGTGCAAATGATTAGTACTAAAAATACGAGTACAATTCATAGAAACTTGACCACAAACTTAGAGGCGACCTAAACTTTTAATAAAAGTATTACTATTTAGAAAATTTTAATTAACAATACTTTTATTAAATCGTATATCAAGAGCTTGCAAAAACCTGATTTTCTCGTCCCCATATAGGGTCGTTACAAGCTCGTGTGTAGCGAGCAACACTAGAGTTGCCGAACATATGTCCAGGTCTCACGGACAGTACACGATCAAGTGCATAGGCACATTATATTAGATTAATATCTAATCGAACATAATATTATATGCGAACTTGACTAATTATTACAATTTTTCTTTTTTTTTTGGATTTTCTACTTTTTTCCATGTATTCTTTAGCTCGTTAATGGAATAAGTACAATACAATATGAACTATGACGGAACAAAATGAAGACTGCTATGGAAAATAACATTACACAATACAAAATAAATGAAATGAATTAATTACTTTGATGAGATTAAAAATACCAACCTTGCTAATAGTTCTCTTGCAGATATACAAAACAAGGTGGCCGCGCCAGAAATATAAGACAATTGATGAATAAAAACTATTAATGATCTCTTATTTAGTGATTAACCTACATTGAATAGATTAAACAAAGAGAATTGCATATAAAAATGCATAATTTTATACATATTTTTTATATGAAATCCCCTTTGCAAACCAAACAACAATATATTCCCGACACGACAAGCGAAATAAAACAATATAACAATACATTTATATATAACTGAAATTGCTTAAAGGTTAATTTCACGATATATTAAATATATACAATAGCCATATACCAATGCAAATTCTGCAATGACATAATATTTTTTTTTTATTATTTTTTAAATTTTCAGTTATTACAAACAGAAGTAAATCACACTACAGAAATGATAAATACAATATATAAATTATAAACACGACAAAAAATAGCAAAGTTTTGAAAATAAATGACAATGTAACTAAGGAAGAGACATTAAAAATGAAAATAAATATAATTATTTGTGGTATCCCATATAGAGTAAGCAATGTTGCCAGCTCATAAAATAAAAAACGGAATATGACATTGCCATATATACACGGCTCAGTGACATAACGCTGGGATACCATTTAAAAATCATAATATAAAATATAACAGATACATTTCTGATGCTTTACATAAACTATATATTAACAGTTACGCCTATATGAACTGTCATCATTCACATTCGGAGCTGTAAATTATATTACATTTTTGCTATTAACCCCCAACATTCTTTAAATACATTTATATATGCGAATTAAATTGAAAACAAAATACATTTTTATATAAAAAAAAATACAATTCACAAGTTTGACCTGAAATAATTTATTGCTCTATGAAGTCCTTTTGTTAGTTAGTGAAAAAGAAAAACAGATAAAGCTGCAAAAATTACATTTGTTCATTAGTTAAAATCTCTTTTAGCCACACATAAAAAATAAGAAATGAATTAAAGAATACTGAGGCAACAGCCGATATAACTATCAAAGACCATACAAACCATCTTCACATAACGCACTATGGGGTGCTAATACCCCTAAACATTGTCCAACTTCATAGAAAACTTTACACATTACTACTATAGCAGTCGAGTTTCGTACCCTCTGCTATTTAAATATGCGGCTATTCAATAAAATCGCCGCCAATAAAAACTTAAGACTGGACAAAACCATTAAAACAAACCGTCATCTACCTTCTAATAACGAATACTAATATATATATATAGATCATCGAGATATCAACGAACCGATAAAATCGATATCCGACACAATCGATTATCGATTCTATCGGAACCAATCCAGACTTCTCCCAAATCTATGCCTCCCAAAATTTTTCGTAACGGAAAACAATTTTTTTCTCTACGACAAAATTTTTGAATGAAATTTTGATTGCCAGAATATAACGAAAAAAAAAAAACTAACAAAAATAAAATACTTGTTAACTAATTTTTATATTAACAAATCGTTTAAACAACTTGGGACGATATTATTGTAAGAATTATATTAGAATCGTCCTAAACGCTAAGTGGAATGCTGCCGCTTGGTGCATAGTAATTCATGACAGATATAAAATACTCATATCTATATACAACAAACTGGCCGAAAAGTGGTAATTATAATATAGATTTAACAATAAATATCATTATTAAAAAAAGCAGTTGTTAATTTGACAAAATCTCATAAGCCGCAGCACTCCACCAAACATTCCTATATCAATATAAAATCGCTAAAAAGAAATATTGAACTAAAATTATTATCATTTAATTATACCCCCCTCCAACTCCTACATATCGATATGTTAGCACTTATATAGCCTTTTTGTACCTCGACCATTCCATGCAGTTAAGGGTTTTATATAAACTATTATTATTGCTAGTTCAATGCCCAAAGGCAGTCCGCAAAAGGTTGAATCGATTTTAATTTGCGATTTTACATTGAGCCCGCTCTCCTGTCCCGAGTCGGTCCCGATGGAAACAGAAGAACGGACATTATATTTAATAAGACAGGCGATATATAAACAGAGAACGTAATATAATCGTTCAGTCGAAGAAATAATCGATAGAGGCCACCTTGACATGATATTCACGTATTGAAGTTGTGGTTTCATAATTAACAGCTAATAATTCCAATGTTTCCCGTACAGGTACATGAAGTCGATCAGACGCTAACACTATCGGTGTCCGGTAAATATCGTGCGAAAATGGCCTCCGTCGATTCGCCTAACACACGAACCTACGTTAAAAATGTTTTTATTGCACCTGATGTAAAACGAATCCGAAGCGACACTACCGTTCGCTACCGAGCGATTCATGTCGGTCGTAAGTAACCTAGAGCATTCCCGGAGGAAAATTGTCAGCGGAGGCGAAGTCGAAATCGAAACTATTAATAATGGACAAGGCACTACAGGTACGAAATATTCGCCTAAAACATTAGACAAAACGTCAATCGAGGGTCAGTCAAATGTTACGCCGACCCGACAATACCGGCGCTCGGGACAACGGGACAATCCCAACGGAAATCATGAAGCACGTGATGAGATGAGACGGATCCGACTGAAGAGGCTCAGCGCGTGAGCGGGCGGTCGAGCGCCGCGCCGCAGCAGTGCAGGAAGCGTAGCGCCGCGCTGTGCCGCCGCTTGCGGTCCACCGCCTCCCCCACGCCCACGCCCACGCCCACCCCCACGCTCATCTCCGCGCCCGCCGCCAGGCTGATGTCTCGCAACAGCTCGTCCCACTCGCGCGACAGCTCGGCCGCCGCCAGCACCGCCCCGCCCACCCCGGTCGCAGGCGCAGCAACCGCGGGCGCGCCGCACGAGCACGCATGCGTCGAGCTCCAGATGCTGTGGATGGCGTTGGGCCGCATCTTCTTGGCAGAACCACCGCACTCATCGCACTCCCACGCGGCGGCTGCGGCGGCGGGCGCGGCGGTCTGCGCGGCCGCATCACACTGACGCACCGGAAAGCGCAGACGGAACGCCGGGTCGTCGAGGTCGGGACAGCGCTGCGCCGCCGTCAGGTTCAGGCGGGTGTAGTCGATGGTGTGCGCCTCGCGATACTCGAGGTAGCGCTCGCGCGAGCCCTCGAGGTAGAGGCCGCCCGAGTCGCTGCGGCGGAATGGCGCGGGGTCGAGGTCGCCGCGGATGTCGAACGTGTCGCCGTCGGCATAGCGCGGCGGCTCGGCGTCCTCGCGCCGGATGGGGCGGAAGTGAGTGCGCGCCGCCGTCAGCAGGTCCTCGCGCTCAGCCGCGGGTGGCCCGGCGGGGGGCGCGAGGTGCCCGGCGGCGGGCACAGGGGGCCCGGCGGGAGGCCCGCGGTGGCGCCGGGGCGGTACCTCCGCGAACCCGCTGGCGTCGCGGCTGTGGTTGATGGCGGTGTATGAGCGCATCGTCTTGGCGACGGAGGAGAGCGCTTCGTACAACTCTTCACCCTCGTACAGTGCGAAGGACTCTATCTCGCGCGGACATGGCGGGTCGTCGATGTTGAGGGGGCGCAGTCGGTCGTGGAGGCCCTCCGCGACGTTGTTCGGGGACTCGACAATCGTCTCCGGGGCCTCGGTGGCTTCGGTGGACCAGATGCTTTCGGTGAGAGAGATCATGCTGCACTTTTCTGCGGACGGATCGGCGAACAGGTGGTCCGAGGGAGACGAGAGTAAATCTTGAAAATCGATCGGTAGATCTTGGTATTCGTCGTCAGGAGTGTTCTGATCCTTGGACCATAGTGCCTCGATGCTCCGATCGAATTTAGCCTCGAATTTTGCATATAGCTCCTCCTCCATGGGTGACCTAACTCTTGGATTTAAATCCTCCGTTATTACCCAATCGGCTTCTAAGTCGAGGCTGTCATCCCAGTCTGGCACCATGTTGTCATGCAGTCTGAACCTGGCCTGTGTGATCTCTTTGATTTCGTCCGTTACAGTGTTTTCGCAGGTACCATAACCCTCGTCTAATGCGATGGCTCTAATGAATTCCTTTACCGGATCCTGAGTCTCCATATCCCAAACGCCCTCGTGAGTCATCCACTCCGGCAAGTTTTCTTTACACTCAAAGGACCTGCTATAACTGTTGTAGCGCTTTCTATTTTTCTTCTGCCCGTGGTATGAGTTGCGACGCTCCTTGCTTGAACTATACTTTTTATTTTTGGAATTCCAATCTTTCGGCATTGACAGTTCACTTTGCATCTTGACCTTTGTATCTGATTTTCGACACCAGGCCGGCGGTGGCAAATAGTACTGCAATGGCGACTCTTTCCCTTTCTTTAGAGCCGGAAATGCAGCGTAATATCGTCGCACAGCCTCTGTTTGTTCCAAAGAACACGTGGGCATGCCTATTATTGACGCGCTTTCTTGATTTTGAAGTCTTGTGCACAGCTGATCAACAATGTTGTCCAGATTAGACTCCTGCAAGTAATAAAGAAAAATTGCAATAAAATTATGTTTACTATAATAATTATAATCATAATGCATCAAAACAGGTGAAAATACAAAAAAAAAAGGGCAAAAAATGAACACCTAATTGATGATCAGACCACAGATACATGGTTCATGACACAATTTCAATGGGAGACTATATAATGGGTACATTCAATATGCAAATAAATAATTATAGGCAGTAGAGAACAATGGTACAAAAAGAGGAAGTAAGCAAACCAAGGGGAATGAAAAATACTTGTGCACTTCGAAGGCAACATATTATGTTACAGAAATTAAATAGAAACCAAACTCAATTATGTTACTAATGAATTAAACGGTGCTGTTCTATATACTGAAACCGACCTTTTTGCAACTCTTTAAAGTGTTAAAAGTCTTCATTTTAACATTTCCACGGTTATGGTCCCTTTCCTGAACAATTGGGCACTGCATATCCTCTTCACAGCAGACAAAATAATAAATTAATTGTTGTTTTTTTTTATGCATTACATGATAAATGTAATTAACAATGATCTCTAATGATTTTAACTTGTCATTAGATCATAACAGTGCCATTTAATTATTTTTTATCTAATTACCTAATAACATGGTAATAACCTTTACTTAATATTAATTCTGCATCATTGCTAAGCATTTTCAACATCTAAAATTAATACTATTAATAAGTTAACATTTATCACAATTTCTTGACTCAACGTTTCTAACAAACCAATAAAATATTGTTTCTATGTAAAATAGATAAAAATATAATCTTTTCAATTGTAAATTAAATATTGATTTAATCTTTACAATCTCAACATTCTCATGATAACCCTAGCAACTGCAATAAGAATCAATAGAAGATACAACTGTAACTTTGTAACCTAAATTTTTTTTTGTTTACCTAAACAAAGTAAAACTTGAAAGTATTTTTTTTTATAAAAACTCCTAAGAGGATATTTCAGGAGTGCACAAAGCTAGAGGTAGGTGTGTACTCCCACATATACTGATGTTCAAATAGATTAATCATCTCAATACAAATGTATTGTCTGTATACCTAAGAGGAGCTACAAGCCTAGTGATGTAATAAAATTTAATATATAAGTAGGTACCTATAGCTCAGCTAGTGTGGATTTTAATTGGCCAAAAAATGACAAAGTAAGGAAATCAATTATTTGTGCACTTTTCATAGAATAAAAACAATATTCATGCAAAATTTCAGATTATGCCTGATAAACACAGATGAAGGACATTTAGTATTTATACAAATGAATCTTACCTGTGTAGTGTGTGCAGGTATCAAAAGGAGCGCGGAATTAGATGCAGTTCTCTCGACGTGGCAGGCCAGCAGGCGAAGGCCTGGCTCCCTCTCTTATGCTTACGCATCCTGTCCGATATAATATCTGGCGCTATCAAACACAATCATCGTGATCAAAAATCGAGTGTCCATTTTTCATTCGCCGGGGGCCGTGTGTTAATATCGATCCTCAGGATATCAGCGTACTAATACATCCTTAATTCTTTGGCCTATTCTTTGCTAGTGGTTTGTTTCGGTCTCGATCGGTCTTCGCGTTTAGTAAATGTTCATTGTCACTAGCTGTCGACGAATGACGCACTTAGTGCAACCCCTTACTTCTGCAACACAAAACATTTATATTTACTGTGATGTCACGTGTTGTTTAGTTACAATAATCACTATGACTTGCAAGGACACAAAGAATTTCATGGAAACCCATACCCGCCCCGCCGCGCTAAATGGGTCGATGGCGCCAACGGCCAAACGTCACTCGGTCGAGGGTGAACCGTGAAACACACACACGCCATGCTTTTCTAAACTCGCGTCTCACATACTAACACGCATCAACAAAGAGATAAATGTGCAAAGTCTAAGTCTGTAATTGTGTTGACACAATCGTTAAGTACTTACGAGTGAGAAACGATGCGATACAATTTCACAAGAATATGACAGTATTACATGATACACTTTCACTGAGGTTGCGCGATGCACTTCCGCGTGGATCAGATAAAAACTATACTAATATTTTGAAACTTACCCTTAGTGGTTTATATGGGGAAATGATCATGATAGTTTCTACACACACACACCCCACATGAAAAAAAACATGGCAGCCGCAAAGAGTGAGAGTTAAAAATCACAATTTGCGCAACGCCGTCAAAAGATCGGAATGACGTCTGTTTATTGACCAATGAAAAGGCTTCGATTTTTAAATTTATCCAACATGGCCGACTACGAACCTGTGATTTCATGAATACATTGATTGACTCTCGTGATTCGTCTATATGTGTGTCTTGTAAACGATTGGCGTTAGTTAGAAAGCTGAGCCAATAGCATTCTAGACAATATGACGACGATAGTATTTTCGCGCCATATTTAAACCGCCAATTTTAAAATTCGAATTTTTTCCGAGGCTTTTGGGTTTATCGAGCTTGCAAATAAAACTTGTTTTCACGGCTGCTTTAATTACATTAACAACTAGCCACATAGTAGATTTGAATTTAAATAAAAAGTGATACGTGATCTTACTTTTTATTATATGAAATTTTATTCGAAGTAAAAGGGTAAGAATATTCATAAATAAAACACGATAGTAATCTTAGGACATCTGTATTCTCTTAACATTTTACAGCTTGTCAGCACATTTATCAGAACAAAATTTATATTTTACAACACTCTCCTCTATGAATATGGATGAAAAACATATATCTTTGGGGTACAACATTTAGGCTGTTTACAAAACAAAGGATTGCATTTAATGCGAATGTTTTAAAATTGTCTATAACCCTTTCGCATATTATGTTTCTTTAATTTCCATTTTTATAGTAAAATTCTGCACAAAGTACCGAATACACCCATTTTGCACAACGTACAAGCATACTGTGGTATAACGTAGAGTACATAAAAATGTACTTAAATAGCTAATATTTATTGACCGGTCTATATCAGAAATGTTATCACTTATTAGTACATAGTAATACTAATAAAGGCTACACTATATAGGTATCTCAGACTAAGGAATAATATAGTCAGTGTCATAGAACTAAACATGAAGCCAAACAATGCTTTAAAATAATATCATGTAATGTTTTAAAACTGATTAGAAATATTAATAGAATATTCATATTGATACTTTGATAAGTAAACAAATGGTAATAAATAAAAATAACTGACGGATTTTATTATAATAAAGAAAAAATTTATTAAATGAACTAATAATATGCTTTCTCTCTTTCTAAAACTAATGCTTAAAAATACAAAAGGATATAGTAAGTATTTTTTTTAATTATTCATATTTTCTTTACAAAAATTGTAAATAAACGACGAATACCTTTATAAAATTGCCATTATAATTTGAAGAAAATAAACCACTTGTATGGAAAGATCGAGAATAGTAGCACAGATAATCACGCTAGTATTTTTGACTTTGACATTTTTTTGCAAGGTCCGTCTATATATTTCTTTAGCCTGAGCGTATTCTAAAATTAAGTAGATGTAGCTTTAATAATAAAAACTGAACATTGAAAGATGAACAATAATTAATTTGTGCTAATACTTCCAACTAAATAAAATTAAAACTTATCGAACATGGATCACAGAAATGCATAAACAATAAAAATAAATCTCTGAATGAACCAAATGAAAAAAAAACGTGTATGTACTTATATACCTACGCACGTAAGAAGTTATACTCCTTTTACTTCTTTGGCGTAACAGAACAAAAATAGCTAAAGATTTCATCCCGTACGTATGTCACAACTGTCTGTTTGTAAAAGGAATGCAGCTAACTTCATCATGTCGCTTTTTGGCTGTCGGTGTGCGCGCGTATCGTAAAAATTTTACTCTCATATTTTTTTCCAAACGTGCCAAAAGAAGTATAACTTCAAAAATATTATAAATAAGAAGACTAACTTTGTACGGTGTGGAATTAAAATGTTCATTTGAATATTTACATATTGAAGTATGAAATTAATATAATATAATATGTATTATACGTAATACAAAAATGCTTATTGTCGTAAAGGTAACGCGTTAAACATTGCTGTAATTTTAACTTTAATATGAGCGATATAACTGGAATAGGGTACTTGATATCATTATATAAAATATTAATTATATTTTTATTTTGACCCAAAGCTTTAAATCCATCATAATCTTATACATCGCGTAAATATTTCTCAATCAATATTATACTTGCGAAAGTTTGTTTGGATGTTTGTTACTCAATTACGCCAGAACGGCTCAACGGATCTGGATGACATTTGGCACAGAAATAGATTATAGCCTGGAATAGCACATAGGTTACTTTTTATCCCGGAAAAACGTACGGTTCCCGTGGGATACATTTGTTTATGTAACATGTAAATAAATTGTACTATGGCGTTCAAAATACATGCTTTTTAGCCTCAGATACATTGTCACAATTAGCGTTATTTTTCTTGTGTATCCAATACTGTACATTTTTTTCTTAATACATAATTATAATTTATAACATAGAACTGGAATTTATTTCTTTGAGTATTTTTCATTAAGACAGTAATAAAGAATTACATGTAGACGACTGTATTACTACTGGCTTTGCATAAGTAGTTTAGAAAATACAAATATTTGCTCAGATATGACAAAAAATAAGATTAATAAATTTTTTAGACATCCAACTAATATAATTTAACATAATAAATTAAAAACAGAATACGAATATAATAATAGCCTTAACTTCCATACAAATAAATAAAAGGCAATACAAAAAGACATTTTTCCTTGACAGTTAAAATGTATAATTTAACTGACATGGACTACCTTAGGTGATAAATTATTTAATGAAGCAAACTATACCATTATAATGTCTATGTTAATATACATATATTATAATATATTTCATAACTACATATTAAGTATTAATACTTATAAAAAAAAATCTATACATATAATAAAATTCTAACTGAGTCGAATCTGTACATTAAATAGTTTTTAGAAAATCTTATTGAAATAAGACATTAATCGAATGACTATTTCAATAAGATTTACAGAGGTATACGGGATCGACATATAGTTTTTAGAATTTTTGTCTGTCTGTTTGTTTGTCCTTCTTTAACCACCAGACAGATTTAAATGAAATTTGATATGATGATAGCTGATTATCCGGGTCAACATATAGGAGACCTTTTGCTGTGGGAAATTATCTCATCTCTGAGAAAGATATACTAAATATTATATAGTAATAATCAAATACCCTATTCAAACACTAAATAATTCCTTGCAAATTTGCCGCTGCAAACTGGCAGGAAAGCGAACACTTAAACAATGTCACATTGTATTTACATAATGTAATTTCTAGAACATTCATTGTTAATCTATGAGAAAAATGTTATCTCAAAATGATAGTATTTATGAACAACCTTATTTATTTTTGATTTCGTAAATGCGACTTTTTGTAATTGCGTGTAAAATTAATGTTTATTGAAATAAAAGTTTTGACATTTTCATAATTTAAAGCAGTATTTCCCAACCAGGAGGGCGAGCGTAAAGAGAATTAATTTTGCATAAATTAATTTAACTTAAATAAATAAAAATCGTTAAAATAATGTGTAATTTATTATAAATCAATATAAAAAAATAAAGAGGGGCATGAAAATATTTTTTTATAATCTGGGGAGCCTCAACAGAAGAAAGGTTGGGAAACCCTGACGCTTAAGCAATAATAATTAGTAATTTTTTTAATAAAAAAAATATTATCTAGTGTTAAATAACTCTAAGTTTCAAAAAAAGTGTAAAATATTTTTTACTATATTCAAAATCCCTTATACATTTTTTGAGTTTTTCTTGTCAATTAAACACAGTTTAAGTTAAATCGAATTCAAAACAAAGGAAATTGGTAAAAATCAATACTTGATTAGTAGTATGGGCTTCCCTTCAATACGAGGGGGATCAGGCCATAGTGTGGGTTGGCTTGTATTATATTTGATTAACACAATGTAAATTAAAAGTATCCATTTGCTAAACCACCACCAAAATGACTATATATTCGCCAAACAGTCTCATCTAGAAAACAAAAATCTGTAAGAACATTTAACCATAGATTAAGTTCATTCTAGAAACTTCTTAATATGGCTAATTTTCATTTATTTAATGGCTTTCTGGTCGTTTAGTACTTGAATCTTCTGATTTAGTGACGATATCTTCACTTTTGGGCATATTTCTTTGTTCTGCAAACTTCTCCACCGCCTTCTTCATCTCTCTACGCTTCTGTGCTTCTCTGATGAGATCGTATAAACTCTGTAACATAAATATAATAAAATTGTAAAATATTATTAGTAAAGAGGTTGTGTAGGGAGGTTGTGTTTAGAATTATAACTTTGGTATTTTAAAATTAACGGTTAGTATGGAATAGATATGATGAATTGAATCCACACAAAATATATATAACTAACTCCACACAAATCCGTTACAAAAACACAATTTCACATTTATAATATTAGTATGGATTATATATCAAATGGATTCCCTTCTAATAAAGTACTAGAAGTATTATGAGATTTTTATAAATAGCTTTAATGAGAATTGAAGGCGAAGCTATGATAACTTTTTATAATAATACATATAATGAGAGCAAAATGCAAAATACCTTTCCATCGGGTTCACCAGTTTTATCCTGTTCCTTGGCCGCTTTATCCAAAGCCTTCTGTATTTTGCTTTCCACCTCTAGTATCTCTTCTTTGTCCAGTAGGTCGATGAGTTCTGCCATTTGCTTCTCTGAGAGGTTCACGTTCTCATTGCCTACGATTTCAAGCATCTGGAATTTTGCATAATGTTTTTAGAATATATATTTTTATAATCTACATACTATTTTATGTATATATCATACAATACATATATTATCATACCAATTTGTTATTTGAAATTCCATTAAACTTACAGGCATTTTTTTTGGATTTTGTCCGAGTGTTTGCAAGATATGTAGTTGCATAAACGAAAGCGGAGGTAGAACTACCGTAAATTAAAAACTTTATATGTACAATGTCGTCATATTTTAAAGCTAAAAACCTATTTACCTACCAAATTTCAGCAGTATAACTCCAATAGTCTTAGAATAAAAGACCATCAGATACGGACAGACGATCATGACGAAATTATATGGGTTCCGTTGCCAATAGGCTAAAACGGAACCCTTATAATTTTTGTCTTCTGGTTACGGAACCCTAAAAATGAGTCCTAAAACGAACAATTTAGACATAATCACCTTCAAAACATCATCAATTTTCAACTGTCCGTCAAAGTCGTCATCCAATCGGCCGAGCACATCTTGTATGAGCTTCAACTTCGCCTCATCTGGAACTTTCTGTAGACTCTTAATGGAATGCATCAGTTCATCGATTTGGATCAAATGTTCCTTCGCCTTTTCGGGTTCGGTTTTTGTTTGTTCGAGAGTGGTCTTGAGAGCTTTCTCCTTACTTTCGAGTTCTACTAGAACGGAGTCGAGTTTACTTATCATGTTGTTCACTGCGCGGTACAGTCTGGAGAAAAAAATAAGAACAAAATTTAAACGCAAAAATGTAGTAAATTAGTATGTTTTGGTAATTAAATATGTATTTTCATTAATATAATAAAAATAGGTTTTATTATTTTCGTTCGAATAAAAGATAGAGCGAATTCTTTAATGACAAACGTGCAAAAAAATAAGAGGCTTTTGTATCTTCCTCACAGAGGGCCCTAGTTAAGTAAAATACTAAGAAAATCCTAATGGCTAAGCCGCTAGTAAGGAATGAATTAAACTAATACTCACTACACACACTTTTTTCGGGGGGCACGGCAGTGCCCCCGCCAAGTCGATTTTACATTTACCTTATATCTTATCTATATAAACTATGTAAATAAAAAAGGATATTCGTGTGTCTGTCCTCTATGTGACCCTAAAGGGCCGCATCCGAGTAAAGCGAGGATAAGTCATTAGTACATCATAAAAATCTTTATTTTATTACACATAAAATATAACATATTATATTTAAACTGTGCATTTGCCACAACTATTTAATCATAATAGCATCGTCACCATAGCTCTAAAGCAATTGGCATGTTACAAATCCAATGTATTTGGGGCATTTGGTCTGCTTCCAAGACAGCGTATGTAAATTGCAAAGATATGACTGATTATTATATTATAAAATATTTATCCATGTGTAATCTATTAGTAACAAGATATAAATAGCAGCAAGGTTATGATTCTAATTTTAATCAACGTGGAACTTTTTATGATATACGTACAATATTTAATCTTGTACTACTACCTACATTGTTACAGTACAATTATATGTCATACAAACACAACAATATTCACACAAAAAAAATGTGACAATAAATAAATAAGTTAAATTTATTTGAATATTTCTTATCTATTGACATAGCAGCAATCAAAATACGATATTAATCATATTCATATCATCTATTCTAATATTATTTATTATAAAGAGGAAAAACTTGTTTTTTTGTTTGTTTGCTTGTATCGAATAGGCTTCGAAACTGCTGAACCGATTTAGATAAAATTGGGTAAGAAGATAGTTTGAGACCCTGGGAAGGATATAAAACAAGGATAAAAAACTGAATTTATGAGGTCATTGTTACCTAAAATTCTTTCTGAATTTTTTCCTAGGTACACTGTCCTTATAAATTTTTTGAGATTATATATTTTGTTTAACTATAAAATTCCAAAACAATATGCTTGATGCATTTTTATACAGGGGAAAATTATTCTAATAAATAATAATATATTATATTAAAATATTCAAGTTGAGGACAAAATTAAATTGTTAATGCACTATAACTTCCTAAATAAAATATTTGCCTTTTGATTATTTTTAATCCAATGATAACACTATAAATTGCATCATCTCTTAAAAAAGGGTTATCACACACTAACATGATATTTAATGAAATATTTTTTTTTGTCATTTTTTATGAATAAAAATGAAATACTATATCAACATCTAGCAATTAAATTGTTTGGTCAAGCTACACTCAGCCGGCTCTTTGGTTACTTTTTACAACCTACGTAGCTGATATATGTAAATATTTCATGAGTGTCTTGATATGCGCAATTGTAGTATCAGATAAATACACGAATATATAATATATTCGTCAAGTCTTTTACTATGGCACTATACTAGTCTAATATTTTTGTTCAAAAATTAATCAAATTTCTTTAATAATATACTAACGGTAACGTTGTGTCCATTGCCATTTTTTAATATTTTCAAATGGGACTATCAATAATTTTTGAATTGAATTAACAAGAAAAAGGATATATTATAGAAATCACTCTGACACAATCGAGAGTTTGCAAAAAAACACGCTTTTATGTATATAGTTTTTTTATCAACAGCCATTTTAATATATGCATGGTTAATGGTATATCAACGAAGAAATTTTTATTGGTATTTTAGTCAAACATAATAATGTTTAGCGAAAAATTCAAAATATTATAATTCAATGTATATTTAAAAAAATATATATTAAAATTTAAATAAGTCAAACAACAATTGTTACTATGGAGATAAGTAAATACATTATATAAATTATGCATAAAATATTATTAGTTTGCGCTGACCCTTAGACCTAACTACAAGGTCGCACATGCGGTGAGGACGTGCAAAGTTTACTAAACTTGTAAGTAAATTTCCGGTACGTTTTGTTATTGTTATGATGATTTATATGAGGATTGAGGCTATGTGAACTTGGCACCCGACTTTGGAAAAATTGTTCTTTTTTAGGTTTATTTGAACGATTTCGGTTAGTAGTAGATAGTAGTGAAGCTAATTTCGTTTGTAGTAGTGCCAAAAAAAAATACAGACAACAAAAAAATGTCATCCCCCGAAGTTGGTAAAAAAAAATTTTTCCGCTTGATTCGTATAGAAAAACGTTAGTAGTGGTTTGTAGTGCAATTTTTTTCGTTTGTAGTAAAACAAAAAAAAATTTTTTTTTCGAGTATTTTTGCAGAACGATTTTTACTACATACATTCATTGTTTCGTTTGTAGTACCATTATTTCATTTGTAGTATCGTTAATTTTGGTTTGTAGTACCAATACTTCGTTTGAAGTAACGTTAATTTCGTTTGCAGTACCACTATTTCGTTTGTAGTACCATCATTTCGATTGTAGCTGTTTGTAGTAACGTTAATTTCGTTTGTAGTACCATTATTTCGTTTGTAGTTTTTTGTAGTAACGTTAATTTCGTTTGTAGTACCATTATTTCGTTTGTAGCTGTTTGTAGTAACGTTAATTTCGTTTGTAGTACCATTATTTCGTTTGTAGTACCATCATTTCGATTGTAGCTGTTTGTAGTAACGTTAATTTCGTTTGTAGTACGATTATTTCGTTTGTAGTTGTTTGTAGTAACGTTAATTTTGTTTGTAGTACCATTATTTCGTTTGTTGTTGTTTGTAGTAACGTTAATTTTGTTTGTAGTACCATTGTTTCGTTTGTAGTAACGTTAGTTTCGTTTGTAGTGCCATTATTTCGTTTGTAGATGTTTGTAGTAACGTTAATTTCGTTTGTAATACCATTATTTTGTTTGTAGTTGTTTAAAGTAACCTTAATTTAGTTTGTAGTACCATTATTTCGTTTGTAGTAACGTTAATTTCGTTTGAAGTACAATTGTTACGTTTGTAGTACCATTGTTTCGTTTGTAGTACCATTGTTACGTTTGTAGTACCATTATTTCGTTTGTAGTACCATTACTTCGTTTGTAGTACCATTATTTCGTTTGTAGTTGTTTGTAGTAACGTTAATTTTGTTTGTAGTACCTTTGTTTCGTTTGTAGTAACGTTAATTTCGTTTGTAGTACCATTGTTACGTTTGTAGTACCATTGTTTCGTTTGTAGTGCCATTATTTCGTTTGTAGTACCATCATTTCGATTGTAGCTGTTTGTAGTAACGTTAATTTCGTTTATAGTACCATTACTTCGTTTGAAGTAACGTTAATTTCGTTTGTAGTAACGTTAATTTCGTTTGTAGTAACGTTAATTTCGTTTGCAGTACCACAATTTCATTTGTAGTACCATTATTATTTCGTTTGTAGCTGTTTGTAGTAACGTTAATTTCGTTTGTAGTACCATTATTTATTTATTTATTTATTAGGCAAGCCAACGCAACATACAATGTGATATAAAACTAAAAATATAAAACAAATTTAAAAAGTATTACACTGTACATCACACTTACAGGCTAGCTCAACATGTAACATAATAAGGCGTTCTCTACTTCCAACCCTAATTCCCACACCCAAACAAAAAACTAAATTAAAGATTAAAAAAAACAGTACAAAATGAAAATAAAAACAAAATTACAGCCATAAACAATAAAAATCATTACTATAATCTACACAACCATTATAATAAATAATCAGTACCGTAAGTTAATTGAAAAATGTATTTAAATAATTAAATAATTTCGTTTGTAGTTGTTTGTAGTAACGTTAATTTCGTTTGTAGTACCATTATTTTGTTTGTAGTTGTTAAAAGTAACCTTAATTTCGTTTGTAGTACCATTATTTTATTTGTAATGGTTTGTAGTAACGTTAATTTCGTTCGTAGTACCATTATTTCGTTTGTGGTACCATTATTTCGTTTGTAGTACCATTACTTCGTTTGTAGTACCATTATTTTGTTTGTAGTTGTTTGAAGTAACCTTAATTTCGTTTGTAGTACCATTATTTTATTTGTAATGGTTTGTAGTATCGTTAATTTCGTTCGTAGTACCATTATTTCGTTTGTGGTACCATTATTTCGTTTGTAGTACCATTACTTCGTTTGTAGTACCATTACTTCGTTTGTAGTACCATTATTTCGTTTGTAGTACCATTACTTCGTTTGTAGTACCATTATTTCGTTTGTAGTACCATTATTTCGTTTGTAGTACCATTATTTTATTTGTAATGGTTTGTAGTAACGTTAATTTCGTTTGTAGTAAGATTATTTCGTTTGTAGTTGTTTTTAAGTAACTTTCATTTTGTATGTAGTACCATTGTTTCGTTTGTAGTAACGTTAATTTCGTTTGTAGTACCATTATTTCATTTTTAGTTCTTTGTAGTAACCTTAATTTCGTTTGTAGTACCATTATTTTGTTTGTAGTTGTTTCTAGTAACATTAATTTCGTTTGTAGTACCATTCTTTCGTTTCTAGTACCATTATTTCGCTTGTAATGGTTTGTAGTAACGTTAATTTCGTTTGTAGTACCATTATTACAAACGACAACAACGAAATAATGGTACTACAAACGAAATTAACGTTACTACAAACGACACAAAGGTACTACAAACAAAATTAACGTTACTAAAAACAACTACAAACGAAATAATGGTACTACAAACGAAATTAACGTTACTACAAACAACAACAAACGAAATAGTGGTACTACAAACGAAATTAACGTTACTACAAACAACTACAAACGAAATAATGGTACTACAAACGAAATTAACGTTACTACAAACGAAACAATGGTACTACAAACAAAATTAACGTTACTACAAACAACTACAAACGAAATAATCGTACTACAAACGAAATTAACGTTACTACAAACAGCTACAATCGAAATGATTGTACTACAAACGAAATAATGGTACTACAAACGAAATAATGGCACAACAAACGAAACAATGGTACTAAAAACGTAACAATGGTACTACAAACGAAATTAACGTTACTACAAACGAAACAAAGGTACTACAAACAAAATTAACGTTACTACAAACAACTACAAACGAAATAATGGTGCTACAAACGAAATTATCGTTACTACAAACAACTACAAACGAAATAATGGTACTACAAACGAAATAATGGTACTACAAACGAAATTAACGTTACTACAAACGAAACAAAGGTACTACAAACAAAATTAACGTTACTACAAACAACTACAAACGAAATAATGGTACTACAAACGAAATTAATGTTACTACAAACGAAATAATGGTACTACAAACGAAAAAACGTTACTACAAACGAAATAATGGTACTACAAACGAAGTAATGGTACTACAAACGAAATTAACGTTACTTCAAACGAAGAATGGTACTACAAACCAAAATTAACGTTACTACAAATGAAATAATGGTACTACAAACGAAACAATGAATGTATGTAGTAAAAATCGTTCTGCAAAAATACTCGAAAAAAATTTTTTTTGTTTTACTACAAACGAAAAAAATTGCACTACAAACCACTACTAACGTTTTTCTATACGAATCAAGCGGAAAAAAAATTTTTTACCAACTTCGGGGGATGACATTTTTTTGTTGTCTGTATTTTTTTTTGGCACTACTACAAACGAAATTAGCTTCACTACTATCTACTACTAACCGAAATCGTTCAAATAAACCTAAAAAAGAACAATTTTTCCAAAGTCGGGTGCCAAGTTCACATAGCCGAGGATTGAGATTATTATTTTTAATCAACTAGCAACTAAATTAAATTTTTCGACTTTTCTGTACTATAATATGCATGTATTATACATATAAATTTTCCTCTTGAATTACTCTATCTATTAAAAAAACCGCATCAAAATCCGTTGCGTAATTTTAACGATCTAAACGTACATAGGGACAGACAGACAGCAAGAAGCGACTTTGTACTATGTAGTGATATAAACTAATATATAAAAATCTCGCGTCACGGTGTTTGTGGTCGCAATCCTCCGAAACGGCTCGACCGATTTTAATAAAAATTTTTTGTATATTCGTTAGGTATGAGAATAGGTCGTAAAGTAATTTTCACCCTCCTACTCCCACTTCCCATTTTTTTAATCGCGATTTTAGAATTTTTGTATGAACAAACAACAACATAAAGCCAAAGAGTTTTTTTTGAAGATTGAACGCGGGCTTAGCCGCGGGTTCTGCTAGTATTATATTTGAATGTTATTTTGTTGGGTTAATCTTCTGTTCACTTGTAGCAATGTAATAAAATCCTAGAAATCAAATGTAACCTACTTCTGTCGTATCGATTTATTATTTTGTGTCAAATGCGATTAACAATGCGATACAATAGTTTAATATTATCGAGATAATCTCGTGATAAAGCCCACTCTGTAAGTTAGTACAAACATTTATAAAAATAACTAGCAGAACCCGCGGCTTCGCTCGCGCTAAACCTACGAAAAAACTCTAAAATGGTAGGTTTCATACAAACTTTTCTCGACCCGAACTTGTCCCGACCTGGGACTCGAACCCCGGACGCCTAGATCCGCAGCCGTACTTGCTAGCCTCTAGACCACCGAGGCAGTCAAAACGTAATTTAAATCCTTCAAAAAAAAAAAGAATTTCCTTCTGGCCTTAACCCTTTAATATTATTAACAACATACTTCCCATATTATGTATAACTTATTTGCATGTTATAAAAAGAACACGCTCTTTCTATTATAATTTTATCTTTACCTTGACTTAGATCGCATGTATAAATAATTTTACATAATATTTAATTCTCTTCACGTGCAAATAAAAGTATTATTATAGTCGTTACCCGTTATATATTTTTATTCTAATTGGTTTTCGCTTACAACTTGAACAATGTTAAATACGCATTGCTTTATATTATTAGAAATATATAAAACAAAGTAGTTATTTTTGTCTGTTTCTCCGCTAACTTCTTCTAAGCCACGCAACGGATTTTGATACGGTTTTCACTGTTATTTAGGGGTGTTTTTTCGGAAGTTTTATATGTATAATATAAGCATATTATAGTAGATAAAAGCGGTGAATTCCAACGATTTGTAATGATTTCGTATAAAACATATTTTTGGGCGCTTACATTGCTAACGCTGGCTAAACCTTACGAGATAGATCAAAATAATGTACTACGGAATTGTATATCTTAAAAGAGTCTACAGAAAAGTATATAGTAACGGCTAGTATATAGTAATATGTAAATAAGAGTCATTTGGGATCTCAAAATAACTACCAAACATCGAGCTTACATAGTTAATTGTACCGATCAAAAAGTACTAGATACACAATCATAAATATAAACAGTCAAAAAATGTCCTCGTCGAATGAGCCCTCATTTTTAACATGAAAAAAAACTTTAAGCATCGCATTTAAGATTAAATTTACATTGTTGTATATTTATTTCAACTAGAATAATTACCTAAACAAAATTGGTGACAGTTTTAAGAGAACTCTTGGATGGGATTGTGTATATAGTACTTTTTTGATCGATTGCTATATGCTAAAGTCCATATTATATGAAGATTTCAAACAAAGAGTGCTGGTCAATCACGTAAACGACTGAAACGATTTTAATGATATTGCAGTAAACAATAGAAAATTCAGGTCAATCTATATATATCAACTATTTGGTTTATTAAAACAATTTTAACAATCTATGAGAACCGTGGGTGAAAGCTAGTAATAAATATAAAATATCCATACCTTCTAGCACCCTTAGTTAGTTTGATGTCTGCCTGTTTCGTCTTCACGATCTCATCCATCTCCTTCACATCCTCGCTATAGTCCAACAGCTCTGCTTTTATTTCTTGAATACTTTCCTTCTCCAAGAGTAGTGATTTCTTTTGCTCAGCTGGAAAATAATTAGATAAAAATTTAATTGCAGATTAATACTATTTAATCATTGCCTACCATTTGACTAACATTATAATTGCCAAAATTAAGATTAATTAATTATTATAGATCAATAATTTTTCTCTCCTTATTATACCAATATTATAATTACCAAAGTGAGTGAATTATAAAAGTTACTTTTTTACGCTATATTGGCTTGACTGATATAGGTGTAACTCGAATGGAGATAGCTCATATCTTAGATTCTACTTATAAGTACATACTTTATATTGGTGTATTTATCACGCCAGGAGCTGGATATTTTTTTTTAATTTGTATAGGATCTCCTTTTATAAAAAAAAAAGATTATAAAGATCAATCCAGAATTAGCGAAAATATTACGAAAGAAAAAATAAAGAAATAAAAACACAAAAATAAAACAAGAGATGAAATGAGTAGCTACATACTCCTTTTTAAACTCGAGTTAGCAGATGAAGTAAAACTTCGCGGACGATTATCCGCAGTTGTTTATTTGTTTGTGCTACTTTGCATTTTTGCCTCTTGGGAGATTGATATGGTTGGATAATTGTTTAACGTTACTGAAAGACGCAAGAGGATTGATTGTATCGTTACAAAAGTACTGGTTTATCTCTTAATTTATATATTTATATGTATTGTAATCGACCCTCGTCAGCACGGGCCCCTTTAATACGAGGGGTTGGCGGACTTCACACGGTTTTTCGAAAACTTCCTAGGTTCCTAGGTAAAATTAAAACTCAATTGTAGCTGGTTGAAAGTTTAAGCATTGACAAATAAATATGTACATGTTACAAAATATGTAACACTAGCGGCTCACCCTCGCTTCGCTCGGGTTCGCCTCTAGGGATACAAAAACAAATCTATCCCACGGGAACCGTACATTTTTCCGGGATAAAAAGTAGCCTATGTGTTCCAGACTATACTCTGTGCCAAATTTCATCCAGATCCGTTCAGCCGTTCTGGCGTGAAAGAGTAAGAAACATCGATACTCACAAACTTTCACATTTATAATATTAATACAGATTTGTTATTCGATAATTATATTTTGCACTTATTATTAATTTCATTATGTAATAAACTTCTGAAAAATATACTGAATAATATTTTACACACAAACATATTAGAAAAACAAAGCAAAAATAAAGTAGCATGTCTGGTCATTAACTCATAACTATTAAAAGAACGACATCTATTATAAGGAAGTGAGAAATTTACAACAGAACAGTACCTTGAACTTGTTCAAAAAAATATAATGGCTTAATGCCAATGTCAAAACACTTCAGACTAAAAAAAATATTATTTATCTAAATTTTGGCATAAATAATAACATAAACAGTATATTTTAACTAAGAAATAATGAAATGTTTTTGGGAAACACCTCATTGTTATTTTTACTTACAATACGATTGTGTTGGCTAAATTTTGACAAACAATAATCTCTTTACACTTAAAGAAAAAACAAGTTATTTAAAAAAAGTTAACTTAATATGTTATCTGATTCTGGTCATATTGAAAAAATTTCATTTTACTTAAGTAATGATAAATGTGATTGAATGTTTGTTGATCTATTCATATTTGATATTAGAGCATATTTTGACCTAAAACATCTTTAAAATCACACAGAAACATACGGTACGTTATATATTTTTGTCTTTTGTATGTATTTATGTTAGTAAGTGTAGTTTATCATGTTTGTGTACCGTCCCATCTATGGTTCCATTAATTTTTTCACCAAAGGTTGTCTGTAAGTAGTTGCTCATAGCAATAAGACTGCCTTTGCATGCCTTTTTGTTATTTTTCTTTTCATCTCCTGTACTCTTCTTTTGTGCATGCAATAAAGTATTTATTTATCTATGTAGTAATTTATTTTCTATAAAAAATATAAACTTACATCTTTCATTTTTCATTAGCCAACATTACCAACATTACCAATAGCAAAAAGTAACTAAACTGCACACATTTAAAGTAAATAATAATAGTTGACTAAACTTACCTAATTTTTCTAAAGCATCCTCGATCACATCAATATCTTTGCCCGACAGTCCTTCGTCAGTCTTTGGTTTGGGAGGATCGACTGCTAATATTGGTGCAGGGTCCACCATGATGGGTGTAGATTCTTCATCCAATATTGGTGCTTTATCCTTCAACTCTTCCTTTTCCCTCTTCTTCGCATCAAGCATCTGCTTCTCCATTTCTGCTTCTTGCATTTCCTTCTTCTCTTCTTTAATCCTCAATTCTTCTAATTTAATCGCATCAGCTTTGACCTGGAAAGGTGTTTGTTGGTGTTATTTTTATACTTTATAAATTGATTATGTCGATTTTCTTGGTTTTCATTTTATAGCATTCTCAAAAGTTTCCCAATTTTAATTGATATACATCCTAAATATATTATTTAGAATTTAAACAAAATATAAGCTTTGTCTAATGTGAATAATAATTTAATTTAATTAATTAAAATGATTTTTTATATTAAAAGTTTTTGTGATATTACACTCAAAAAATTATTACTAAAGACTGTCACATTGATTGCCAAATAGGACCTAGTCTGTTGAAAAAAAAAATGGATGGTTTCATTTTGTAATGAAATTATTATTTTCAGTGCTTAAGTACTTCAGGAATGTGCAACTTTATATGATAAAATCACGAGGCATGTACATTAATATTAATATTATTGATTGTAGTTAGGTATTATTACTTAATTATTATATATAATTCAACAATTAAAATATAATATATACATTGTGTTTATTATACATATATGTATGTATGTCACATACACTAAAATTGTTTTTACAATAGGTACTTATTGGTAGTAAATAGATTTGTATAGTGGTTGATTCTGGAACTTTATTTTTTTTTAGTCCTCATCTATAAACAGTATCAAGTGTCCCTGCACTAAAGTATTGAACTCAAATCAAAATTATGCACCACTAAAGACTCATATAAGTTAGTCCTGGAATTTTTCAATAGAAACTGTGTATTACAGTACCAATAAAAATGATTTTTATTACAAGCATTACCTTAAAATCGAGTTTGCCCTCTTTCTCTCCAATGGCAGCCTTAGTCTGTGTAGCAACTTGCTCAGGTAACGCAGAAATAGTTGCTTTCAACTTGTATGTTGTAGGCACATGTTCTGGCACCATCAAAGCTCTCGATAACAGTAACAAAGACGGAGGCACCTTCTCATTTAATGACAAATCTAACCAATTCCTCAATTCCTTCCTTAACCTCTCCTCAGACACACCATATGCCCTCATACCTCTTGCGCGACAAGCCTGCTGTAACTCACTGAAGTTCAAACTATCAACACCTTCCTTTGCGATCATCTTATCGTCTGCAGCTAGTGATCTCAATTTCATTTTCAAATTAAACCTCAATATTGCACCGGTACCAATTGTAGACACATTCAACACTTTACACAATGCAACTAAATGTGGTCTTTGTAGAGAGTCTAATGTAATATCATCTTCAAACAGTTTAGAGAATTTCATAATTTCGTCACTTGTTGCTACATCACCAGAAGTTCGGACTTTGTTAAAGAAAGATGAAAATTCTTTGGCAAGTTGAGAATGTCTATCACTAGCTTGTGGTGCCATTTGGTCCAATGTTTCTTGGAAAAACTTTGCCATTTCCAATTTAACTTTTAAATGCTGTTTTAACTTTGCTTCCGTTTGACTTCTGCTTTCAAATGTGGATGGCAACATATTTGGAAACAATTTTACGAAAAGAGGTAATGCAAACTCCAAGAATGGTACAGCTATAAATACAATAAATGGCACCATTCTAAACAAGTCACCAATTGTTGTGACCAGTAATCTGTGCTCTCTTCGAGTTAGTGTATGACCTTTTAAGATTTGGAATAATAAAGAGGTAGAAATTCTTACTTCTATAAAAAGTAGCCTAAAACCATGATAATAATGTCGCAGCTCATCCATAATTCTCTCTTTTATACTTTTTTTCTTTTCCTCCTTTTTTGGTAATTTTTCTTTTTCTTCAATTTCCTTTTTGATCGATTCTACAGTCGCCTCAACTTTAGATGATGGCTTCAAGGGCTCTTTCTCATAGTTATTCTTACTTGTTGATATTGTTCTTACATAAGCAGGATAGAATACTTTTCTATTGAAAGGTTTCTGACTTATATCATGCTGCAATCCAATGGGTTGAGTTGTGTAATAGGATAATGACCTTGAAAGAGTAATATATGGAAAGTTTTGATACTTTCTGTTCTCCCATAGTAAAGCTGAAACATTTAAAATATTAATTTGTATTTCTAAAAATATGTGTTATATAAATTTAAAGAGATGTGTATACAATTTCATAACATACATTATTTTTAATAACTGAAATTACTCTTAAAAAGTTAACACAAAGTGCTTTTCTATTACTGACATACAATCCAAATTTATGAAATATACTATAACTAAAAAAATAAACAAAATTAACCATGATTTTTTTAAAGAAAATAGTATTATTATGTCACTTATTTCGAAAAACAATAACTTAACCTATAATTAATTCATATACTTAAGTGATAACGTTCCGCTACTTCTTTAAAATTAGAATTAGTTTCTGAATTATTTTATATAATGAATACATTGATGAAGTCATATTTTAATCAATCAAGTGATACAAAAGGTTATATTGATATAAAATGTTTACTTCATAAAATCAAGTATCTTTTCGTTACTTACTTGTATTTTTTAAGCACCGACAACGATTCAGAACAATTCTATTCATTTTGCCTTTTTATTTAGCGTATATTTTGAGAATTACGAAAATTAAAAACAAAATCAACCTTTAGGCACCATGACAATCTAGAAGAATATAAATTTTATAGATTATCTATATTTTGTTAAAAATGTTTTATTATCTTTAGACATATAACTATAAAGCGCGCTCCACATTCACGCGCGATCCTCGCCAATTATCTCGGCGACATTCTCGGCCAGAGCTTCTTTGGCTACACACTCGCAAGGTTCTCAATACAGTTCTTACGCTCGATGACGATGGACGCAGAAGTAACTGCTGCAACAATCTTATTTCTATGCGCATTTGCATATTATAAATACGCTTATATTAACACTTCCAGGTAAATTTCTAAGAAATTCTTAAAATTCTAAGAAATTCATTATTAACTGGCACGCCGGCGTGTCTGCGGTCATGGAGGGATTAAAGACTAGTGACTCACCCTCGTTTCGCTCGGGTTCGTCCCTAGGCTGCTTCCCCATACAAATTTTCATCTCCATCTTTACCCCCATAAGGGGTGATTTCCGAAATAAAAACTATCCTATGTCCTTCCCAAGGTCTCAAACTATCTTCTTACCAAATTTCATCTAAATGGGTTTAGTAGTTTCTGAGCCTATTCGGTGTAAGAAAACAAATCTTTCCTCTTTATAATATGAGTAGAGATAAAAACAAATTAAAATTAAGTGGAGAAAAAGAAGATGGTGGATGACAAGTAAATACCACGCAAAACTGTTCTTATCGGCGGGTCGCTCGCTACCACAAACTAATATAGAGATGCTACGCATCGCTACTGAAAAACACGCGAGTGTGGAGTCAATACGAGTTCTCGTCTGTTCTTGCCTTCTTAGCTCTTTATCTTGCGCCAAAAAACCGACATGCAACGAATATGTGAATCGGTTCCACATTCACGTTTCTCGTGTTTTTTCTCGTTTTCTCGCGAGATGCTCGCGTGAATGTGGAGCGCGCATTAGAGTCGAGCGTTGACAAATTATAAAATGTACTTATAAACATCAAGTTTGTTAGTGAATAATATTATGCACAAATATATTATAAGAGTATAACAATGCATTAATCCTCAAATGAGGCATTTTCTTAATAATAATAATAGTCAATAAATTTATAAAAATCGAATTTCATTCATTTTATAATCAAAAATTAGATGGGGTGATATTATTATACTATTTATGTGAAAGTTTAAAGTCATTATGATGTGTTGTAAGATGATTTTGAGTTGGTTGTAAATTGTTAATTTGTGTAAGGAATGTATATTCCACATATTTTGTAGTACACATTAGGCATCTTTCTGACATATATGTATAGTTTTATATTATATTATACCCAATTTCATCTGGATGAGGATTATAGATGTCGTTTCGTGAGTAGTATCCTAAATCGTCGTATTAAGTACTTTTTTATCTGTGTTGTCAAAAGTCAATAACAAAAACTATTAGGGATGGGACATTTCACGAGTAGCAAGTGAAAAATCACGTGAAATGCGTAATCACGCGTCACACCTGCTACTTAAATTCATAGTGGCTGCTACAAATCACAACTTGGTGAAATCTAGAGCTGTAGCAAACCGTATGTATTCGTTACTGAGTAACGGGTACGCCATCTAGTACCGAGTACCGAAACGTTACTCACGAATGCATTTCGTTACTCGCATTTTCCGTATACATTTTCGTACTGATGTTTTTATTGATTTTTTATTCAACAAAATACAATTTTCAGTTAATACCGTTGATCAGTAAATTGGGGAGTTTATTTATTTCGAGTTGCATGATTTCGGATTCTTAGAAATATTGTTTAGAAATAATTTTAAATTAGAAACAAGTATTAAATTTAGAGCACATTTTTAGTTTTTTATCCAACAAATACTTATAATTTTTACTGAATGATTATGTGTAATACGTACAGACATAACCACCAACGCTGAGAACGAGCTAGAAATGTTTATTAATGAACCAGTGCTTCCGCGCGATTCTTCGCCATTAGTTTGGTGGAAATCTCACTCCTATATGTACCCCAATTTGGCGGAAATATTTCATGAGCACTGTCACATCGTGGTGACATCAGTGGAGTGTGAGAGAGTATTTTCAAAAGCGGGAAATTTTGCAACCCAAAAAAGAGCACGATTAAGCAGAAAACGAACAGCGGAACTTGTATTTTTAAAAAGCAATGAAGACTATTGTATATAGATATCTCATAAAAAAATCAATCATCAAAAAAATCAAAAAGCAAAAAAAATGATTATAAACAAATTAAAAAAATTAAGAAAAACAAAAAAAAAGTGTATAAAATTCTTTTATAAAAATTCTTATTGTACATAAAAACAATGAACTTTTAAATACGCCAATGTAATTATGGAACTTAGCTTAATACAATTTTACCGTGTGATTACTCTGATATATTTAAAATTCATTTAATTTTACATTGTCAGTCCCAAGCCTGTAGAAGTATGAGGGAAAGTTCATTGTTTGAAAATAGGTTCATTCAAAGCACCATGTACGTATGCAACTACGTCAGATCTATATCTCTGCTCCATATCACATCAGTAGCGCCATTGGTGACATTTCATACTTCATTTTAATAGCAAATAATATAAAGTGTGACACCAGACCGTCGAAATCAAAAATCTATGCGTGAAAAGTAGCAGGTGAAATCACGTGAAAAATTGTTGTAATTTCATCACGTGATAATGATTTAAAAGTAGCAATCATTTCCATGCTTAAAAACTATACTCTTTGTTTTTTCTTGTTGTTCGGTGTTCGTGGCGTGCCCCTGGGGCCGTGGTTTAAAGTTTTTACTCTTCGTTCGTGACTTTGTAATATTGTATATTAGTTTTTTGTAATGAATTAAGACAAATGAGTACTTTGCATAATTACGTTGTACCATCCTCGAGAAGTTTATTAAACATCTTGTTCAGATCAAATTGTAAGTATTACGAGGTTTTTTAATATGCTCAATTTTATAGGTTAGTTAATAGATTGGGATGAACTAATAGATGTTTTGTTTAATAAACGTTTCTTTAAAAATAATGTGTAATTGTGCTATTTTATTTTTTGTATGCCAGGAATTGTGTTCTCCATTAATAATTCCAGTCACAAATTTGTTTTACAGATTACCATAACGAAAAGATGTATTCTTATTCAACAGACGCGAAGAGCGAAGCTAAAAGAATTGTATGGATGGACTTAGAAATGACAGGTTTAGATATAAATAAAGATCATATCTTAGAAATAGCATGCCTAGTAACTGATGCAAATCTAAATTTGATAGCTACGGGTCCTAACATAATAATACACCAACCTGATGAAATTCTTAGTAATATGAACGATTGGTGCATTGCTCAACATGGCGAGGTATAAAAATTGACGATAAATAATCGAAATTAAAAATAACAAGTGAAACTCTTTACTTTTTAGTGAATGTTCAAGTAATATGTAACATTATATGTATAAAACACTGACTCAATGTTTTTGTTTCAGACTGGATTGACAGAAGCTAGTCGTAAATCAAATATCACAGTGGCAAATGCTGAGAAACAAATTCTGAAATTTGTTAAATCTCATGTTCCTGAAAAAAAATGTCCTCTTGGGGGAAACAGTGTTTATATGGATAGATTGTTTTTAAGAAAATATATGCCAGCTTTAGATGCATATTTACATTACAGAATAATTGATGTAAGCACTATAAAGGAACTAGCTAAACGTTGGTATCAAAAAGAATTTTCTAAAATACCACAAAAAGAGTTTCAACATAGATGTTTGAAAGACATTGAAGAAAGTATAGCAGAATTAAAGTATTATAAAGAAAATATATTTAAGCAATGAATAAAAAAAATTGTAAAGCACTATCTGTAATGAATGGTGCAGATAACCTAAAACATATGACTTCTTTAAAGCATTCAAAACATCAAGACCCAAAAATCAAAATAAATTTGCAAAATAATCCGAAGAGAGTTTATTTAAAATGTAAAATATATATGTAAATCTAAGAAAGTATTATGAAATGTAAATATTTTCTTTTGTTTTTAATAATTTATCTACTGTAAATGCACATACTGTAATATTAACTTTTTAGTTAAGTTTATATAATTATACATATTTATTTGAATGTTGTGTTGTGTGTACACAACAATAAATAAAATGAAAATATGTACATATTTATATTTAAAAGTACATTGTACTTTAATATAAATTACATAATAAGAACAATACATTTGTCTTATTTATCTAATATCTCTAAAAAAAAATTATCACGACAATAAATATGTGTTACGAGTATACCTATCTATAAAGAAAAATAAAATTTAAATGTCTGTTTGTAATGTCAAAATAATAGCTTTTTACTAAATGCATATGAAATTATATACGGTACTTATAAGAAAACAATTTTTAAAATTTGTTAGTCAGTTTGTTCTGACTTATCTCCGAAACGACTGAACTGATTTTGACGGAATTCACTGGCAGATAGCTAAAGTTATAAGGAGTAATCTAGGCTCCTGTTTAAACTTTAGAAAAGGAATTAGGGTTCTACTCAATAAAAATTAAAACATACCTAACGACGCACCCAAGCGAAGTGAGGCTTAGTCGCTAGTTATAAAATATAATATAAAATTGCATAGGTACGATAAAATTATAACAATAGGCTCAATCCCATGTGTGGTTTTCAGATTAAATGTTATTTTTAACCCCCGACGCAAAAAGAAGGGTGTTATAAGTTTCATGTCAATGTTTGTCTGTGTGTGTGTGTGTCTGTGGCATCATAGCTCTCGAACAGATGGACCGATTTCGATGCGGTTTTATCATTTGAAAGCCAGTTCCCTTGTGGTAGTTCTTAGCTATGTTTGGTTAATATCGGTCCAGCAGTGTAAGAGTATCAGCTCTTTTCCAAAATGATGTAAGGCATTTTGGCGTATGATTAGTCGATTATGTGCTTCACACGTGCCAGTGTAATCGTTAAATGACAATTATTTTGAGTAGGGGGTTTTTAAAATTTTTAATTATTGAATGTGTTTAGCCCAGGTGTTTAAGTAGTTAGTGTGTAGTGTAGGTTTTAGAATTTCGTATTTAAACCGAGGAGAAATCAGATACCTATAGCTATTTTAAAACAATGAAATACACTTATTTCTTAAAAATGAATTATTTATCTTCTGATTACACCTACAGCTGGGTATAGGCCTCCTCATATGTGTGCCATCGACGGTAGAGAAAAAAATAAAAGCCCACTTCCAATTTCCATACATTTAAAAAAAACGTTTATCTGTTTGGGCGCTACAGTGCCACAAACCGACACACAGATAGGTACACACAGGTTTTTGTATCGGGGGTTAATAACTGAAGGGGGTTTTCATTTACTGTCGATACCTAATCAGATATTTTCGAAATCGGTGCCAACTACCAATCGAACATAGAATCTCCTTTTTTTTGGAAGTCGTTTAAAAATGTTAAAAATTGTTTTTTGTGTTCCTTGCTCCTGCCCGTGCCGCTTGTTATATACTGGGCTTATCTCGCTGCTGGATGACTGACGTTTCTGTATCCCGTTCTTGGACGCCACTCAGTGAACACCTTACAATACCTGCCACCTTGTTGAGCTGTCCCATCTATGACCTATCTATGTATATTGATCTGAATTTCATAGTTTGTTTTCCAATATGTTTCACTTTTGTCCCGCTTGGGATTTTTTATGTCAAGAACATTGTCTATAAACGTACTAACTAATGGAACACCAACAGTACATTTTTTTTTTTTTGATGACGCTGGGGAAACCTATCATGGGGTGTGTATACAGGTGGTATGCGTCAATGCATATCCCAACATTAAAAAAAAGGCAAACTAAGTCGCGAGCATGTATATAGTAACCTAAATACAGTTAGTTGATCATATTTTTACTCGTATACTATTACCAACTTTTATATTGCAAGCAAATGAACGATGTATGAAATCAAAGTTTGTTTACCCACGTGCCTAAGCTGGAGATTGATTAATGGTTTTGCCGCACGATCAAAGGATTTTATTACCGGAGATCACTGAGTTTTTCCTGTCCAATGAATCTCCCATCTCATCACTTTCACACAAAGAGACACGGAAAAAATTTACTTAAAATAATTTCATCACACTTGTGCTATTTTTGTTCATTGAACATCGTCATACAACAAATACTTATAAAACTTAAACAACGTTAACTATATATATACACTAGTGGCTCACCCTCGCTTCCCTCGCGTTGGCCTCTAATCAAACAACAACAAATCTATCCCACGGGAATCATACATTTTTCCGGGATAAAAAGTACCCTATTTGATATTCTGATGTATATTATTGTAAAGTTTCATTAAAATCCAATTAGTAGTTTTTGTGTACTAAGTTGTATAGTTAATATAGTTTTTTAACTATCCCACAGGAACTCTTTACTTTTCCGGGATGAAAAGTATCTAAGATGTTGACCGGGGATATAAGGTACTACCATGCAAAATTTTATTTAAATCGGTCCAATAAATTCGGAGATCAGCCCGTACAAAAAGACAAACAGACAGAGAAATAAAAAAATGGAAAAAAACTGGATTTGTTCTATTTCTTTTCTTACACCTCCCTGATTCGGTTTTTAGCTTTTTTTTCTATGTACACACATTCGACCTGTACAGTTTTATTATAGTATAGATTTGAAATTACGCTGAACTATTCGCATCTCAATAGAATGCCCAAATATTGGATTTGGATATGGATGTATATGATATGATTATTTTATGATTATTATATGATTATACCTATATGATTTTAGATAGATAGGCAACTTTTCTGCGAGTGCTCTTCTGTTAAGTTTAAAATTGCTACGGTCAATTGCGATTAATTTTTGTTTGACGGTGTCAGCAAGAAACACCAATATTTAGATGGGTTATTTCTAAGGTTTGATTACAATTTATAGGTACCTATACTTACATTAGCTGGAAATGAGGTGCTTAACTTAGAACAGATATGTAGGTAAATTTTACATAATCTATTATGCTTTTTATTTGCATTTTCTCATAAAAACTTTCTCTTAGACCGTGTTATATGTATTTTACTTGTTTTGATTTTAATTATACCTATATGATTGATTAAACCTCTTTTGCAATATTTTAGGTCGTTTATTTTAAGTCACTTTGTCATTAGTCTGGTCTGAACAAGCTTTTGTTCTCACTGTTTATAAACACCTCGGGATCGCGGCACTGAAACAAAAGATAGTAGGCGAAGAAATTATTCATCGCTTATTGTTCTGTGTACGGGGATAGATATGTAGGTACTCGGGTAGCTCATTAAAATTATATGTATATGTTGCAGAATGATTTGATTATTAGAATTTTCGCAAAATATCTGAGGATATCGTGAAAATACGGATAATTAGACAATGGTGAATACATTTCTCAATCTTACTGGAAAAAGATAGGGTTTTTGTAAGAACATGAACTTACCTAACCTAATCAACCTAGAAAGAAAGGGTTGTTCTGAGTAAGATGTAGCTTCCGCCTTAGCCTTTTCTTCTGAGCCTTCTCAACCTACGTTATCCAAGTCGGAACTGTCTGTGTTATCAAAAATAAAACTTACCTAACCATTGTCTAACTATCCGTGTTTTTGCAATGTCCCTAGGGTTTTCACGAAAATTCTAATTATCAAATCATCCTAATGTACAAGAAATAATATTACATAATACTATGAGTTTCAGTCATTTTGGTTATATTAAGATTTTATTGTGATGTTTAATTTAAAAGTCTGATGACTGTCGGTGGGATATAGCCGCATGCCCGCCATGTGTAAGCGAAATAATTGTCGCATTCTGTTTATTGTATCTTTTCAGAGAGTTATGACTTCAAAAACTTCCTCAATGGACTCGCCGCTTCATATTGTGTAGTGCGTATAGCTTATTGTATAGTAAATTTTTTGTATAAAATTGTAGTTAAATGAAATTTAAAATTATAATTATGTATACGCGTTCTTGATATAACATTATATTTAAATAAAAAAAAATGTAACTTTTCTGAAGGTGATTTTTATTGTTACCTTAATTTCCCAATAGTGTTGCCATTATTGAATTTTATAAATGTAGGCGTTAATTTATTTTATTTCAAGAACAAACAAATATTATCAATATTAAATGAATTGTGTATTAATTATTATTATGTACAAATGCTTTGACTAAGGAGTAAGGCACCGTACATAACTTGGTAGAGCAGTAACTCATAGTTTAGATTTTCACTTTTATTTTATCTAGAGGTGGGTCACGTTAACGAAGACTAACGCTGTATTACTAACAGTAAATAAAGAATTACTGGCCCTATTATGTGCAACTCAACTGCTCTGGGAACTTTGTTTTTTTTAAAACTTGTATGCATTATATATATATCTATACTTATTATAAAAATAAGTCCCCCGGCCGCGTCTTTCTGTCCTCCTGTCTGTCTGTACGCGATAAACTCGAAAACTACTGAACGGATTTTTATACGGTTTTCAACAATAGAAAGAGTAATTCTTGAGGAAGGTTTAGGTATATAATTTATTATGCTTTTATGTAAATTAGCTGAAATACGGCGACAAATGTTGAAGAGGTCGCAAAAAATCTCGCCAAATGGGAACTTTCCACGCGAACGCCGCGTAAACTAGCAAAGATACAGTTAAGTAATGTACTAGAGAATTCAAAATCTATAAAAATGCTACAAAAAAGTCCGCGATAGCATATCTCTATCTCTTACGGTTGACTTACAATAACCACTTTTATGTTAACATTTTTAATTAAAAACATTACGTTATTTTCAAAGTTATTTTCTTTAGTTCGGTATTAATCCTTATCCAAA